TCGCGTACATGTACTTTCATATCGTCTGGAACATCGGCAGCATTAGAGGGGAAAAAGTCTCCTGTCCCATCACAAAATCCCATTCGATATCTTCGTCCTCGAAGCCAACAAAATCATTTCCGTACTTCCAACGACATGCTGCTCAAAAATCGACTTCCAATGTTTTGATTCTGGTTCTGAAAACTTCTGCGCAACCGCACAATTTTTTTTCGCAAAGCATGTCGGGTAAATCATTAATGGTAATGATATGCGGGTCAACTTGAAGATGACCCCTGACAAGTTGCGTCAACTGCGGATTACGTATAGGTGTCAATGGTTTATTTACCCGCTACGCGCAATAGGACAATAGGACAGCGGCCGTTTCGAGACCGGTGATAGAGGGACTGTGCCCCGACCAACAAATACAAAAAATCGTCCGTAAAATATAATTTAAAAAAATCCAGTGGTTCCCCGTCGAAACCAACACCATGTCTTGGACCTGAAAACTGGTCGTCATTTGCTGGAATGTTCACGTCGGTCCTTTCATTTGACCAGATGTTTGGTGTATCGGCGATGTCATCGGCATCAGAGTCCGAGTCATTGTCGGCATCGGCATTCAGCAAGTCTAACAGTTCATTAGGATCGATGTCACTGCCACAGTTGGTATTTTGGCATAGCAATTCACATCTCAATCTCCCTTCGTCTATTTCTTCCACTATAAAGCCTTCAAACTCAGTGTCTGAATCAGACTCATCGAAAAATCTCAGAATTGCGTCACGATCAGTTTGCGATGACAGCTCCGAGTCGGCCGGTTGTTGTGGCATCCCGGTACACAGTTTGGAAATTCATCACTGAGTTAAAACTTCAAACGTATCACACAAATAGTTGTGAATAATTGCATACAAAATCCAAAAATACTCGACAGGAATTTAATTTGTTCGATTACAAGTCAGCTGTGTTTACAAACAAATGCAAATACGCAGTGGAGGTCAACTGAATGATCGTGTCTGACAACCACTGAAAAACCTTGCATATTCCCGCCACACAGTCAAATTAGTGTGTAATTTATTCATATATTCGGAAGAAGTTTTCCTTATTTGGCAGGATTCTTTATTAGGAATATACATATGGAACAGTAGGGCGGGAATTACCGGGGCAACGACACAGTGATCGTGTTTAAATATTCAAACCAACGGTAATTGATGACAGTGTCGTTTGGCCTACAGAGGTCATTGGATATTCCCGTTTAAAACCCCCATTTTAAAGCGATATTTGAACACTGTGAATGAAAAAAATACATGGATATCCAGTGGAAATACAACAGAGGCGAAATAAGGACTTGCAGTGAAAAATAGCAACGAAACTGGGATGCCTTTTTTACGGAACCAGCGACTACGGCAATTTTCACGTGTTGACCTCTGCTGGCACGCAAGACTGATTGCGATGACAGTCTGATTTTTCGACATTAAAAACAGAAAGAGTATTGACAGAGGTCGCCGCCAGAACAAAAGCAGTTTCATTGCCTGTCTGACATCTTATCACCGCTGAACAATAAATAGGTGTGAATATTTTTAGGCATGTTGTCAAAACAAATGAATAGGATTAGGAACAATGCCGTTTTGGAACAGCTGGTTGAAACAATGAAGTCAGTTGCGGTCTTGTTGAATTGGGGATGCGGTTAGTAATAGGTACTTTTCAAGTTTTCAATTTTTGTTAAGAACTCTTTAACCCCAAAGCCGGAATTGGGGGTGCGGTTACTATTACGTATGCGGTTTATATTAGGACTTTAACGGTACTGTACAATACTTTATTTTTGCTTGGAATTAATTTTCGCTATTTTCGCTGGAGGAATGATTCAGTGAAAATAAAATCCAGCGAATATACCATTTTTTCGATATTTTACATTCAACTTGTCAAAAATCAATGGAAATAAATATCATACAAAACACCCCAAATGTCTTTTTAGCAAAAATTAACTCCAGCTAAAATAAAGTATTTTACAGTACTATTAAATGCTAGAGTAAGTTAATTAGTATAAATTTGAGTTGTTGTGTACCACAAACTAACTTTGCAAAAAGTAAATTAGTTGCTGATATAACAGAATATGGCATACACCAAAAACCAGACAATGGTTAATTCTGTTCCCATACAAAGTAGCATATTTAAGGCCAATGTAAATATACTCGTGAATAACAACTTACACCCGGAGTTCTTCCGGATAAAATCCTATTTCCGGAATAATAAACTCTTCTTCTTCATCATCTTCAAATTCTTCTTCTTCAACTGCCATTTTCTTTTCTTGTGATGATGACACGTCAGGTTGATTCAATGGAAGCGGCAGGGGTTCTACTCCCTTTGCTTCAGTGTGTGGCGAATTTCCCCCACCAGGGATGATACCACTCTGCAGAAGCTTGGCAAATAAACTGTTAACATCAACCTGTGTAGCCATTTGTTCTTGTAATGGAGGAGTAGCTAAGGGATGAATGTACAATACAGTTAAGCACAATCCAACAATACCAATTCTCAAAAATACCAACAACCAGTACATCACAAGCACCCAGAAATAAATGTCTTTAAAATAAGAATTTAAATTTTTAATATAACACGCAAAGTATTTCACCATACATACTGTAAAACATGTCTTTCACACGAGCATGTCTTTTTCGCAAATTTAGCGAGAGAATTGATTCGCTAATTCAAGATGCCGCTAATGACTTTATTATCAATTCAAAATGGCCGCCAAACAAAGAAATAAAAAATGACAAGAGAGATTCGCTAAATCAATATTTCGCTATTACGTCATTTTACCACAATTCGCTAAAATTGAATGCAGCTTTTTCAACATGTTTTACAGTAGTTCATCCATTTTTATCCTTCAGAGTAGTGTTTAAACTCCACAGTAGCATTGCATACAGTCTTTGATTCTTTTCAGTAAAATAAAATATGGGAGTGTAAAAAATGGCGAAAGCTGGGTTACCATGAAATAAAAACAAGGGACTTGTAGATACTCTCTTGCGACACCAATGATGACTGTCACCTGTCTGGGTTAGGTGCGTGATGCATGATTGACAGGGTCATTAATATTCCATTCTTTGAGATTTTTCATAATGGAATTAAAACCAAGAAGACGTTTAAGCATACACTTCTGGTTGCCATGTTTGTGTGAGTGTTTAATAAGTGTTGGTTTATCAAATCAACAACTGGCAACTCAATTTCAGGCAAGCATCTTCCAGCCAGCTTTGAACCATCTTCTAAGGTTAACCAATTTTTCTATCTTTGACCAAACATACAATACAAATGTATTCCTGAGTTCTCAATGATACAATAGTTGTGAATCTTGTTCTTGTCGGCGTACTATCGATGGTGTACTAGCAATCACCCACTACTCACTGCCACCTTGAAAGAATTTAAACTTATACATATGCATGCTCCGCCCATCAAATTTGTGACATCATCAAAATGCCGATTAATGATAATAGCAAGGGGATCCTTGCAAGGGTCAAAAGTCTCTTGTTTAATTTTGCAATGACCCGACTTTCGCCACTTATATACTTATATTTTTAAAAAAACACACCAAAAAATACACAAGAGTCTGTATGCAAGTCTTACTCCACATAAAAATGCATCCTGCGAGTGTTCAGTGTATGCCACTTACCAGTGCCTGTTTGTTGTTTTAATAGTCCAGTCTGTTGCATCAATGATGCCTGCATTGGTTGTCGCCCCATTGGTTGCTGTGCTTGTCCACCAGTCATGCTCACTGCTGGGTGTAATGGTCCTGTCAATTGCATCATGGGTTGATTCATCAAGGGTTGTGGTAATTGCTGTAAGCCCATTGGTTGCTGTCCTGGTCCACCAGGCATGCCCATTAGTTGTTGCATTGGTCCACCAGCCATGCCCATTGCTGGTTGCCCTGGTCCAGCAAGCATACCTAGTGCCTGCGGTGCCAGTCCACTTATTGGTTGTTGCCCTGGTCCGCCAGACATGCCCACTGGTTGTTGCCCTGGTCCACCAGTCATGCCCATTAGTTGTTGCCCTGGTCCACCAGCCATGCCCAATGGTTGTTGTCCTGGTCCAGCAAGAATACTCATTGGTTGTTGCCCTGGTCCACCCGGCATGCCCACTGGTTGCTGCCCTAGTCCACGAGTCATGCCCATTGGTTGCTGTCCTTGTCCACCAGCCATGCCTATTGGTTGCTGCCCTTGTCCACCAGTCATACCTATTGGTTGCTGCCCTGGTCCACCAGGTATGCCCATTGGTTGCTGCCCTAGTCCACCTGTCATGCCCATTGGTTGTTGCCCTAGTCCACCTGTCATGCCCATTGGTTGTTGCCCTGGTCCACCAGGTATGCCCATTGGTTGTTGCCCTGATCCACCAGGTATGCCCAATGGTTGTTGCCCTGATCCACCAGGAATGCCCATTGATTGTTGCCCTGGTCCACCAGGGATGCCCATTGATTGTTGCCCTGATCCACCAGGTATGCCCATTGGTTGTTGCCCTGATCCACCTGACATACCCATTAACTGTGGTCCAGGTGCATCAGACATACTCACTTGTGGTTGCCCCTGTGGACCAGAAATGCCCAATGGTTGATGTTCTTGACCTTGACTGCAAAACAAAATCATTGCACATGAAATTGAATTCATAATTTTCAGTGAACAAATATTTTCAAAATAGAATATAGAGAAAAGGGATAACAAGGCATGACAAATACTAGCCAGATTTGCAAGGGAAAGTACACACTGAATTTCAAATTTACACAAATGAGTAGTTTTATATGACGTCATAGCTTAAATGATAAAAAATATGTGACTTCACGTTTGATTCCCCATGGTAATGCATTATAACATGTGACTACATGTTCTATTCATTAAGAAAACACATCAGAACATGTGCCGTTGTGTGCAACACAACCAGCAGTATGGCAATGGTAAGCTGATGTCAATATTGCTACTTTGTTAGTGTAACAATGAGCTATATATTGCAAAACTGCTGGTTGTGTCACTTTTCATTAACAGTAAATAGCCATCATTCCACCATCTTGAGTTGGGCCGTAAAGTTAATACAAGTGCTTATATGTGCGAGGTCTAAAATTTTAACATTGTCAGCCCAGGCAAAATACAAATACACATGTGGACAACAGGAACACGCGCACACACAGAGGTGAGTTATTTCAACGATGTTTTCAGACTTAGTTCAAAATGCAACGAATAATGGCTGTGTGCAAATTATTTAGGTGACCACCATGAAATAAATGTTGACAGTAGCCTTTACCCTGTACTGTAAATAGAATGAATACAAAGAATGTTCTAACAATCAAATAATAATGTTTGTTGACTATAGCATTAAAAGACAGTACCAGTAATTTCATTTGACAGCATCGTTCATGTATTACAATATACATACCCTAATGGACGTTGAATAGGCATTTGATTAGGCAACAGGAATTGTGGCTGCATGCCACCAGCAGAAGTTGTTGGAATCATCATATTACCACTACGAGGTCTCAGCTGCATTTTACCTTGAGCACCAGGTTGAGAGACAGGCACTATTGGGCGCATAGGAGGTCTACCTCCCTCCATTGGATGAGGAAAACGTAAAGGTCCTTGCCCTGGTGGTGGTAGTTGTCTCATATCTCTGTCCTGTAAACCAAATGGTGCAGGATCTCGATCATCCATGATTCTCATGTCCCTATCAGTAGAACCAAACATTGAATCCTCATTCATTGCGGATTTTTCTTTGTCACGCTTCATGGTAGGACGAGTTTCAATCGACATTAATGGCGGTGGATAGTTTTGACTCTGAGCAGCTGGCCCTGATCCAGTTGATCTTGATCCAGGATGCGACTGCCGAGGAGGGTCTCCTGGCAGTATTAACTGCCTCATATCAATGTCACCTTTTGCGCCGTTTCCTCCAAACAAATCATCGTCCTCATTATCATTATCTGCTTTTCCCACAGTATCTAACACCCTTTCATCAACATCCTGTGGTGCATTTCCAGAAGCATCTTTAACAGGTAGACTATCAGATCTATGTTCAATATCCTGGTAGTTGTATTCCCTAGGGGGATCCCTCCTTGCATCATAGTCCTTGTCTGCTGGCCAATCACAGGTGGAGTCATACTCTGCATCACTCCTCTCATTCAACCTTACTCGTTGCATTTGGTACAAGTCATGCAGTTGTTTCAAAAGTTCTTGATGTTGCTCATGACTCAGTTGTCCTGAATGCAATTGTCTTTCAGCCTAGAATAAGAGCATGACAACAATAAAGAACCAACAAGACATTTTGGAGTTGACACTTTATATAGACATGACTGACACTTGATTGAAAGCATATTAGTTATTTGATGAAATGTACATGTACCGTGCCAGTATGATGACAAATTTGCATTTGAGCAATGACCATTACCGGTAGCCTACGCTTATCATCATGACAATGGGTCTGTGAACACTGGACATATGTAGGGGAGTGAAACTGTCAATATTAAACAAATAATGCATTTTTGCCAAATTATGAAATAAGCAGAAATGTACTACCTACCTGTTCTAGAATTTCTTTCTGTTTTTTCAGTGTTAGTTCTTTGGGTATCTTTACAGCTGGATCCAGGCTCCGCCTCCTCTCAGGCCTCTTCTTTGGGATAGGAGGCAGTTTTGGTCTTTGTCGATCCATTCCAGGTGCATTTCTTCCCCTATAATGGAATATTAATTGCATTGCAATTACACTGAAGTATATATCCTTGAAACATCATCACAAGCTACCTAAGGGACACCAGGAAAATAGTCGTGTCCTATGTGTACATACATCAATTACTTTATTGTCACTTGCTTTTTTTTTTATTTTTGCTGAAGGGATGAATCATTGAAAATACCTTTTTTACTATATCTAACAGATAGTGAGATGTCTTTTCAGCGAAAGTTATTGCCAACTGCTACACCAACATTCCATACGAGTAATTTGCAGCAACATACAAGACAATATGGAAGACATGGTGTGGTAACTTGAGCACTAGTGAATATACAGGCGTTTTACCATTTTTAAAAGCAGTTCTAATAATGACCTATAGGATTTTAATGTAATGTTCTTACCAATAATTCCCTTGAGGAAACTGTGGCCCCATCCTTTGCTTTTTCTTTGGTGGTAAGTTTTCAGTATAATCAGACTGCCTTCTGGGAAATCTATCATCACCTGCATATCGCTCCCCTCTTCTTCCAACATTGCTCAACGCTTTGTTTTCTTCACTATTAGCACCAGCATTTTCCTTAATAATATCTCTTGGCCTCTGTCTCTCATCTCGGTCTTTTCTCTCCCTACTGTTTCTCCTACCCCCTCTACCTCTACCTCTACCTCTTCCTCTACCTCGAATAGGAGATCTGTCTCTCGACCTGTCTCTGCTATTTCTCCTAGCACCATCTTCTAATTTTGGAGAGCTACCAGAAGATCTTGGAGACTTGGATCTATTTCTGATAGGTGATCTTGACCTTGACCGTGATTTTTTTTGTTCTGGGGCAAGTTGGTTCCAGGGTTCTCCTCTATCAGCTTCTTTTTTATCAATCTTTCCGACAAAATTTTTTCTTTTCTCTCTTTTTCCATTTTTGGTAACATCTTTAATATCATTGTTCCTATTTTTCGGAATTGATTTTCTGTCTTTGTCACTTCTATCATCTCGCTTATCATTCCTTCGACTCTCATCAGCTTTATTTTGTTTCGGTTCAACTTTTTTCTTATTGTCTCTATTATCACGTTTGGTATCGCGTTCAGGTTTGTCTGATTTACGATAATTTCTTGACGGCTTAACAGTTTCTTCTTTTTGTGAGTGTTTTTTATCCTCCACTTTTTTGTTTTTTGTTTTTTCAGCGACTGATGTTTCCATTATTGGCGAGTGCTCGGGTGAATCTACGAATGTATCTTGTGTGAATTCCTGAAGAGATGGTACCTTCACCTGAGCTCCAGGTGCCCTTCCTCTCCTGGGATCACGGCTCACCATTCTGGGATCCCTTGAGTTACTTGTAGGTGCAGATACCTGCAATTCAAATCATAATACAAGTATTGTAGAAAATCCAAAAGGTCACTGAAAAGCAACATCATTTTATTAAGTAAAAAGATCAGATATGGCTTAATCAGTAGCAGAATCTTCAACTACAGATCTCAATGTGCTGGCCTGCGCACTAGCTTACCTCTTCTGTCTTTGACTGGTTGTTGTATTGCTGTCTTAATTTAATCTGTTCCATGTGAAGTTTCTGTTGTTTTGCATGTGCCAGCAATTCTTGTTCCAGCTGTTTCTGTTTGAATTGCTGTGTCTTTAGCGCCTGCTGCTGGAGTTCAAGTTTCTTCTGTTCTAACTCTTGGGTCTGAGCAGTTATTTTATTCTTAGTTTGTAGCAGCTCCATTTCTAGTTTCTTTTGCTGGAGCTGTAGTAATTCTTGTTGTTTTCCTATCAACTGTTGTCTCATAAGGGCTTCTTGGTTTTCTTGTTCAATCTGCATACTGTCCTCATTTGCTGGTTTGGGCATCACTGGTTTAGACACCACAGGCTTGGGCATTGCAGGTTGGGGTGGTGGCGTAGTGGTCTGATGACAAATGATTATGGATAAACATGCAGTTTCAAAACTGTGGCAATCTTCAATAGCAAAGACAGAAAACAAATTTCAAATACCTTGATGGTCGAAATATATACAAATTACAAGCTTAGAAAGAAAGGATCTGCTTAAATAGAAGGATGGAATAGAAATAGCAAGCAAGAAAAACTACCTTCTCAAAAACTGATACAAGCAGTATAATTACATACCTTTTTAATAAACGATGGATTGATATGGATAGTTGCTGGAGACGGCGGAGGTGCAGCCATAATTGGCCAAGCTGGATCAATGGAATTGACACCTACATCTAAAGCATGGAGTTTGCTTGGGAAATAGTCACTCCATGTGGTTCTTAATTTAAACATAGCTTGCCTGGTTTTCTCATCAACCTACAATAATTTCCAGTTAAGTGTATATCAAAGGAGGAAAATATAAAAGAATACAAAAATACACTAACAGGAGACAATAGCGTGAAGTACATCAAGATGAACTTTTCTTTCATCGCCAAGCAATCCGGAAACATTGTGATATACAATGGGCTTTACTAACATATGTAGGACTAATTAATATAGTAGATAGTGAAGCTTGTCTTTATTACTGTATGATGTGAATATTAGATACAGTGACCCCCTCACTAAGTCATGCCTTAGAAAGTCGCGATATCAACCAAGTAGCTTTTTTTGTTGTTGGAATGAATGAAAATAGCTGATGATTCATTGCTCCATGCAAGTTGTCGTTGAAAAGCCAGTGCAAATCAAATGGTGTCAGCGTTTTGCATACCGAGACAATGTCATCGGCATTGATAACCCATTGCCACATCATTTACTGCTTCATAAAACGTGTCGGCAGATCGACTCAAGGTATCAACTCGTGATTTTTTCAAGTGTTTTTTAGTCAGTACTGCTTTTATAAAACCCTATAAAACTCACTGCATTGTGAATAATCCACCATTTTTAACTCCAAATGAGCAGCATGTCTAAGCGAAAAATTTCCTTGATACGTCAGGACCCTTGATCCTACCACTAGCGAATTAGCAAGAGGTCACTGCATTTCAAAGTTATTCAAGATAGTAACAAAGAAGGGGAAGGCAACAATTTTTGTTTAAAGCACAAATGAAGTAGCTTACTGTAATTAGGAAATTAGATGCATGGAAATAGTGAGTTTTACCAACCAGGAAGGTAAACAAAATGGATTTAAAATCTAGTTGCTTTTATCAAAGAGTCCAACTGTCCAAGAGTTGCCTACATTTGACAGTTCATGGCTCCATTCAGGAAATAAACCATGGTACCCAAAGACAAGTGTTGTCTACACTATTTGCTATATTCAAAACACAAATATTTGTGTTGCAATATTAATTCAAACTATTTGTCATTTGTCACTGTTGTTTTTTTAAAAACGAAATGTCTTTGATTACAGCCATGTTTTTTGAAAAAGCAGAATGCCAGCAGAAAAGTCATTACTGTAACAATAAATTCGCATGAATTTGCATTCACGATTCAGACAGTGCACAATAATTGCCGACAAATTTCTGGTTGAAACTTTTGACATGCAAGTAATATGTGTACTATAGTTATTGCAACAGCTGTGGTAAACTGTTCAACACACCAGCTTTTCATCCACATGCACTGCAACTTTCATGTCACTTAAACAAACCGCGTACTGAAGCCATATTTTTTCATGTACCATATTTGCTCTATTGGTAGCGCATGCACTTGCATGAATGGCAGACACGTTTCAAAATTAGTTGTATTTTAATGATACATCAAACAATTCCCCTCTTCCCAGAGTTCCATGCGCATCATTCAAACATCATACTGGCCAATTGCTTGGCAGCAGCTTGTCTCATAACATTTGCTGGCCACTATATTCTTTGAATACTGATATGCGAGTCTTGGGTAAAATATATTGTGCAAGAAAGAGCCTGTCTTTTTATATTATTTAGCAAGTCAAAAACAGTGTGAAACATATTTAGAAAAGAAAATTGAGAAGACCAGCGCACATTGCAACATTTGCTTCTATTGAAGATGCACTTCCAATAAAACAAATATGTTATTTGTTGTAAGCCCTTACTTTAACCTGTGTTATAAATGCAACAGTTACGACATAAGGCGTACACAAGATACCAGGAAATAACGTGAATTTGTTTGTGATGAAAAATTCCTTGGATAACTATAGACCTTATTGTAAGGATCTATGGGAAAAACAATGCAGTTAATTTATATTGACAATTTAAGAGAGGTGATGTTAACACTAAGTTAAAATGACATATTCCTTTTGCTAAGATTTGTCAGTAAAGAGCAAACCTCTTCCAAATCACCCTTTTCTGAAGTTGCCTTTTCTTTTACCACATTTGAACATCAAGCAATATATACTTCCTAGTTTGGTAGTTAAAATGACAATATGTTCCGAGTAGAAATAATTTACATGCATAAGGATTCAGCACAATAACAATAGAATGCGACTAGATCCATATTTTCAAATATTTTGATCACATATCCAAAAACTTTTATTATTCATCCTCATTTACTTCCAGTTTATTTTAGAAATCGATTAATTTTGCCTTAACCAAGCTCTGTCCCTTGCTGTGCAAAGATTGTATGAAAGTCAAGAATGGTGAACTTGATTATTGATTTGCTTTGGGCACCATGGCTCTGCTTGATGTAGCCAAGTAGATAACTGTAAACGCAGGTTTCACTGATGATTTGCATACGTGCATTTCCACTCTGTTTCATTTCAATAATTACAGTAAGTTGTTACATTTTGAAAATTCGTGAAACAAGAGTGGATGTATAATTTTTTTCCAGATTCATGTACATTTATGTAGAAACAATGATTTTCTTTTAGAAGAGTCTAGATGAATGTGCACACTATAGCAGGATCAATTGAATAAATCACATTTTACATTATTTGCGTGTACCAGATTAGTTCATGTCATATGTGACTGAATTAATTTGTAATATATTAATATTTTCACATTTGTTATTTTGTGCATTTTTGGTAGTAATGAAGATAATCAAACCAAATTGATTTTTTTCAGAAAGTACAATAAAATGTAATTTTGGAGAAGACTAAATTTTGTATCAAATGTGCACATTTATTTTTTTCCTATTACAAAAAATCGGAGCAATGCTTAGATTGTTGAAGTTATGCCAAACTTTATTTGTAACTGAAGCTCAGCAAATCTACTATACATGGGGCACCACTACAAACGAGGCGAAAAAAGATCAGGCTTCTCGTCCCAGGAAAAATTGAAAACCGATTTGATGAAGTTTTTTTTTTATATTAAGATTATTCAATGCTGAAGGTGGCATACAATTTAGATCAACAAAACATCCTCTGAAATAGAAAAACATTTTCCAATTCACATCACCAGTAAGCAAAACTTCTTTTCGGTCTAACATATTTCAATTGGTTGGGCACTATTTTTGTAGTGTAATTACCGGCATACTGTGGAATACTTTATTTTTGCTGAAAAGGCTTTTTGGGAGTTTTGTGTGGAATTTATTTTCACTGATTTTTGATGAGTTTAATGTGAAATATAGGAAAAAAAGTATATTCGCTAGATTTTATTTTCACAGCAACATCCTTTCAGCGAAAATAGCGAAAATAAATTCCAAGCGAAAATAAAGTATTCTACAGTATTCTAGTGCCTATCCAATGCATCTACTATAAAATGACTAATTTTCACTGAGTTTAAATTTCACTGAATCAGCATTTCAGGAATATTTAGTGAGTTTTAAATTCACTGTTTTATCAATTACCATGAGGGATAAAATGAGAATTGCAGTACACTTGTGCAACCAAGTTACAAAACCCTTTATTTCATAGTTATTATTAGGCTGTTCTGTTTCTGACTTGTACCTCTGCAGAAAAATTTAGTTTGTACAGGTTTGTAAGGCCTGACATACACTAACACAAAATAATAGATTACAGGTGAAAAGCAGGTATTACCGGTACCCTCACAAAGCTTGTGACCGATTTATCAGATGACTTGTCTATTCAAGATAACATGTGTTAAGGAGCAAATTTCTGTCTGGCTATGTGATGAATACAACATATTGGAGTTTATCTGTATTCTAATTGCGAAGACGTTTTTGCATAGTGTGATTGATACCTAACATTCAATTCCTTTCACTAGCTTTTCCTTTTGATAGTGTCGCACTACCCTGTTATCACCATGACGAGTTCTTTTAACTATTTTCTCGTTGACAGCATTGAATGTGTTATACACAAAGCAGTTTACAAGATCAGGATTTAATTCTTCATTAGTTAGAATATTTTTGTCTCCAACACTTACTGTACTTAGTGTCACCTTTGCAAACCACAAAATACATTTTTTAAATTCTGTTTTACAATGATTTTGCACATTGATAGCAAGAACACTCCTGCAGTATTTCTCCTGCAAGCTTTATTGCAACTTCCTCATTGACCTCGCTAAGTTTCCCTAAATATCACATCTATGTAAAAATTAACATATTTAACTTGACTTTCTTGTGGAAAACAGTTGCAGAATTAGCGTGGAGTAAATTCTGATGTGCAACCCTTGATCAGGAAGCGATTTATGACACGCAGTGGATATACTGTAAAACACTTAGAAACAGCTTCATGTTATTTTAGCAAATTCGGCTTAATGCACAAATTATTATAATCTTAATTTAACTAATGTGCCAACAATCTCATGGGGAAATATTTTTTTATAAATTAGCTACATTTTGAATACTGTGGAATACTTTATTTTCGCTGGAATTAATTTTCGCTGAAAAGGCAATTTGGGCGTTTTGTATGGAATTTATTTTCACAGATTTTTGATGTGAAATATAGGAAAAAAAGTATATTCGCTGGATTTTATTTTCACGGAATCATCCCTTCAGCGAAAATAGCAAAAATAAATTCCAAGCGAAAATAAAGTATTCTACAGTACCTCTGTAGACCAAATTACCTAAAATAACATAGCAGCTGAAAAAAACAACATGTTTTACAGTATAGTTTAGCACTGGTGTTGTTAATCTGGGAACTGCTAAGGAGAATTGTTGATGTTGCAGCCATGGATCATCTCAAAGTGACACATAGGGAATTAACTTTTACAGCACCCACCATGTTAGATACACTTTATAACTTTCAGCAGCCACACACACACACACACACGTCTTGCGTCTGAAGCAACTTCATGCTACTCATGAGATGCGAGGAACAGTCTGTGGTCAATACATTGACCATTCCAATTCTGTTAGACAAAGCCACCCATGATAGCTTTGCTGAGCTTCAGTTACCACATTAACAAAACATTAAATCTTATATAATGCTAACCTTTTCAAACACTCCACAAAAAGTGGCGACAATGTTGTGTGCAATGAGAGGTTGATATGTTCCGCCTACATTTTTCAATATAGAATCGAGCAGGTATAAAACTGGCAACTTTTCCGTCGGTTTAGCCTGTATAGTGACATTGGATAAATTCATGGTGATTATACATGACATTTTGGGGGAAAGAATATTAATTTAACACATACATGCAAGGATATAATATAACACTAGAACATATTTTAAACCAAAATAACGAATAACATGAACGATAGTTCTCACTTCACTTTGTGAGGAATAGGTACCAACCCTTGTGAACAATGTATCTCAACATTTCCATGAGGCCAAATAAAATAAATTGTGTGGTTCTGTTTACATGTACTTCAAAAACAATTTGGGTTGGTCAGGTTTTTATTTGTGCTAGCTTATTTAAGCAAAATCAGTGTTTAAAAATGTTTACATAAAAAATTTTCCAATCCAGCCAAAATATTGGATACCGGTACCGGTAATACAGGTAGTTTCATTCAAGTCTCACTGTAATCTTTTGTGATTTGGGATCTTTCTTTTCATGATTGTGTAAAACAAGATTAAGGTAATCGATTTTATTAGGTAGGATGATTATCAGAACGACACACACACACATCATTTTTTTACTTGGCCTGGAGGCAATATCGAAGGGCTACATGCTTAGCTTTTTTACTTTCTGGGGACATTCAGCTAATCACATTGTTCAGCATATACGATGGCCACTGCATGAACAATAAGAATCAGAACTTTTGAAATTACCAGTACTGTAAAAGTTCTAATTTAGGCTTGTTATTGAGAGCTAAGACTGTGCGGATTATGTTAAAATCCTCCTTTCAATCCAAGATAAATATAAAAAAGACAGATTTCCCAAAATTATTGCTTTCTAGCCTACCATTTTTTTAAGCCAGATCATTTGGAAAGAATTAGTCTATGGAAAAATAAAACTATTTTGTAACAAAATGTCAACTGTAGTTTTGCCTGCCATGGCCAAATTAGAAATTTTACAGCAGTCTGGAATTCAGAGTTTCTGAAAACTGCATCTACATTGGGGTACATTTATCCGTATAGCCAACAGTCCCCTATTCATCATGAAGTCCATCCAACTGTTAATATGAAAATGAAAGACACTCTCTCTTCAGTCAATCACTTGACCACAAATTAGTCTTGTATAACAACCTCCAGCAGAACAAGACAGTAGTTTCTATGATGTTAACTCGTCTCGGCATCCACTTCTTACTTGGATCATTCACGGTGAACCGCTGATGATGAGGACATATAGGGCAAGAACAAGGACAAGCTGAGAAATTAGATAACATTTCAAGACTTGTTTTCAATGTTCAACTTAATTTTGAAGAGTGATCAAACATACTTGCATGAATGATTCATGTCCCAAAAAATATTAACTATGCCAGTCCTCAATGTTATCAATTTTCAGCAATAGAAGGGAGGGCACAGTTATACACTGTCTTAACAAGGGGCTACAGTTGTACTCGTAGATGTGTTGGATGGCTGCTTACTGCTGCTGTTACTTCTTGGTAATGCCAGGAACGTCTCTCTGGTGTAACTGTGTCATAGCTTCAGGAACCAGAGTAGCAATAGGGGGCTGGGGCAACTCACTGAATGAGCAACAATTTTTCCAAGCTCCCTGCAAGTTTTTCTGAATATTATTCCATATTTTTTTTAAACTCCAATATGCGAAATAAAAACTGGTTAACAGGGAGCCAAGAAAATTGGTTTGGTTTGTATAAAATGGACCAAGGCCGACTGGGAAATGGTAATCACAAACATGGCATACAGAAGTTGAGTTTATCACAAGAAACACTCAGACATACTGGTATGTTGGGTGCTTTATTATACGATTCATTCCCAATAACCCCTCCCTCCCTCCCACACTTGTATAAAAGTAGAAAATACACAAATTAAGAACAGGATGACACAAGTTAACAGCATTACATCTCCAGAAAATTTAATGAAAAACAAAAAATTGAGTTTGTGATGGCAGACATGTAGCTTTTGTTGAACAAATGTACAAGTAGTAAATTTGTTCTGTGAGGATAACACTGTTAACATATGGCATTTAAACATGTATGTAGACAATGATATAGAGAGCAATATGCTTCAAAATTTCTTCAGGAATATCCATCAGTACTAATGATTTCTTCCAAATATCTGCATTATTCCAGTTGACTAAGCTGTAGCACCTGTTATAACCACTGAAACCATTCAAAAGGAGGGATTTATAAATGTACACGAGGGCAAACAAGATTAGATTACTAATTAGATGTTCAGAAAAAAAAAGACTCTTGAAAAAGCCAAAACATTAATGTGAAAAACAAGAAACACGCATAGAAACTGCTTCCTGGAATGTTTTACAAAAGACTGACCAAATCAGGAAAAATACTCAACGAACAATAAAATATGCAAGGCATGCATAATTTACACAGAATTTAGAAATATTTTCTCCTACTGTTAGTTCTGTTTATGTTGACAACCATAATATCAAAGTGAAACGTTAACGTATGGCAACCAGGTAATAATGGATGTGGTTATTTCCCAGAAAAACTGTGTTTTTTCTCGAACCACTAAATTACTCGATTATTCGAATCATGGTTGGGGCACTGACTAAAGCCCTCCTTTGAATTGGTTCACTAGTTTATACCAAAATCGGAACTAGCAGTCTGAATTTACTGATAAATACTGAAATAGTATCATTCATGATACAATCTCAATTAATGATAAAAACCTTGTTTAATCTTGCTTCGATTAGCCTTGCCACTTGTGGAGCATATGCAACATTTTCTTCGGCCAGCATCGTCAGCATGTTGATCAACGGCTTGCTGTTGACGGTCAGATCAGACAACGACGACTGGAAATCTTCACAAAAAGCAATCTCATCCGCCATCTTGCTGGTTTGTTCACCAGACGAGGACTTTTTGGACCGGTCGACGAATTGAAATAAGCAGGGGAAGATAAATATTAAAGAAAATTGGGAAAATCCATGACGATATCATAAAATTTAACTTCGCAATAAGATGTCGTCCTAAAAATAGTCTCTCGCGATTTCTCGAACTCACGGTGACGTCATAAAAATGTAATATTGTAAGACGCATGTTGATTGGTCCACAATCGCTGCCAAATAAGAAAATTATTCTATTTCTCACTAATTTCCGAAGAAGAAATTTATTTTCTACATAAAAAAAAAACGGAATAATGGACACCGGCAAATGTTCTTTGCAACACATACAACTCAAACGCGTATTTTTCTTTTTTTTTACGATTGGGAGCAGTGATTGGGAGAGTATGAAGAGCCAATCAAATTTTCCGTAGTAAAATCAAACATGAAATACACATTTGTTCCATTCTATCAATCAAAACGTCAAAATTTTATCAAAAGAAAATATTTTACATGACAATATATTAGTATTTATATACTAATGACTAAATGAGCAACAGAAAATAATTTCTATAATAAAAATCTAACTTCCGGTGTAGCATACCCGGATGCATAATGATGTCATCGTCAGATGTTCATTACTTCCGTTTTAAATGTTGACTTTTGCCAGCACTTTTTATATTGTCTAGTAAACAACAACAGACCACGTTGTTCTTCACCACGTGTAGACGGGGATCACCTGCATAAGTAGGGCCGTGACTCAGCCTTGGAAATCTCACCAAGGCTGTATAAAAACTCGAGGCGTCACGGAAAGGCCCACCACATGACAGTGAATATATCTGGATCCAAGTGAAAATAATCGATTTATAATCGGAGCAGCATCTTTACAGTCTGTAAGTGTTAATTTTACATTTTTTTAATGTTTTATAATAATATTACAAAAATGATGTATTAAAATATTAATAATATTTTTTCTAGATATCTCAACTATGGAAGATTATAAATATTTATTTAAAGTAGTGTTGATTGGTAATGCTGGTGTAGGCAAAACTTGTCTTGTACGTAGATTCACACAGGTCAGTTGATACATTAACTATGTGTAGATGCACGCCATACTTGCAAATATTTAGTTTTCTGAAAAACCCTCCGTTTTGATGGAGATCATCTAAAGCAGTGAAGCAAGCAGTAGTTCCTTCATGTCTGTCTTATACTAACATAACATTTGTTGAAATTTGTCTTCACTGTTCACTGTACACAAAATATTTCCAAGCAGGGTTCATTGCAGTTATATCTGTCAATTGTTTGTAGAATTATAAGTGTGTAGGTCAAGGACTGTTTATTTACTTACTGTTTTTGAGCTAAGAGTATAAATTAATTATTGGTTGGTTGCATTCACAGTCACTTGGGGGCTGAAATTTAATAAATACCAACTTTAAAAAAAAAAATCTTCCGCTATACGTATATAATATACGTATAGCAGAAGATTTTTTTTTTTGTGGTTGCATTGTTTTGTAGTGTTGCAGACAAGACATTTGTAACTGAAGTTGAGTGACACTCATGACCAAAGTTTTGGCAACATAACAAAGTACATTACATTAAAAATCAATTTTGTGTAATTATAAAAACAATTAAAGTGAAATAATAGTGATTTTTTTTGGGTCAATCTAAAAAAAATAATTGGTAGATTGCACTGAACAATTGAATTTTTTCTGCTAACTAAAATTTTAATAGATAATTTTTTGACAAGATCTTGTACTATGCATGAGCGGTGTGGACTGAACAATCTTTACTTCATCAAAATTTACTGTCATCAAATGTGTTAAGCACATATTGGTATTAAATACCAAACAAAACAACTTCCACGTTTGTCTTATTTTTTTTTTTTTTTCAGGGTTTATTTCCTCCTGGGCAAGGTGCTACCATTGGGGTTGACTTCATGATAAAAACGGTTCAAATCGGAGATGACAAAGTTAAAGTGAGTTAGATTTAATTAAAATTTACATCATACATAAGTATAAATATTTTTGTAATGCAGTCTATGAAAATTAGTGGTGTGGTGGTATCAACTGGTACAATATATTTGAAACTTTTGGGAGGTTCAGGAAGAGTTTTGAATATCAAATTTGCACTCATAAAAAATGAGGAAGCCATGAAAAAAGGTTATTCAGAGGAAATGAAATAAAATATTCCACATTGTCAGTAATCCATGCATATTGTCCATAATCCCAACCCTTAGGATTCCAGATGGGCCATTCATCTCAAATCTGTACAGTAGTGTAGTATAATGTACCGTTACTAATTTCTCCATTATTGAAGTGTGCACCTAATGGCATCTTACCACAATATAGATCTCTAGTACTGTAAAAATATAGTTAATATACACTGATTTTAATCTTCCCTATTTTAGCCTGTGTTACAAATGAATGAATCTCCTCACGGTATAGATACAAACAGGCCTTTGAGGTTGATAACTTAGCCATGGATCATTTTAGAAAATAAACGCTTTCAATTCAGTTGCAGATATGGGATACTGCTGGCCAGGAAAGATTCCGTTCAATTACTCAAAGTTATTATCGTAGTGCTGACGCATTAGTGGTGGTGTACGATGTGACATCGTTTGAAAGTTTCAGGTGTCTACCTGATTGGATCAAAGAAATTGAACAATATGCTAGTAATAAAGCCATAACAGTCTTAGTAGGTGAGTAATATGTAACTATTTTGCATAACAATAGCATTGTTTGACAGTTTTAATATCATTTTCCCCATCAAGGATGAAGAAAAGAGAGGAATACCTTTTACAAAAGTTATATAAGAAAAGAAACTGAATTATTTACAATACTAGTAAATAAAACATGATTTTCGATCTCCCTTAGTCTACCACACATTGTCAGCAGTTAAATTTTTGTCATTTTTAATTCAGTCAAAATCTGAAGTAATCTAAAAGTATTGTTATGTAGAATGGGTTCAGAACTACTCAGATTTAAAAAAAAATGTCAGAAATGCAACTTTTCCAAATCAAATTTGCATAGATGTTGTCTGACATAAAATCTTGTATTTTTGGATTCATCTTTACCATCTGTAACTTAAATCCTTGAACTTTGACCTGATGACTCACTAGCTAATGCTATACTACACAGATCTGATGATGAGAAAATATGTTAAATGAGTTCCCAGGAAGAAACATCTGTTCTGTTTTAGATCTGTAGTCATATCATTGAAATGTTTTATTATTTGCAAACAGATAAATTGATAATTGTTCCACTTTTTCGTTTATAATATATTTTGCCAGGCAGCTAAAAAAGGTTTAACAAAATGTGTAATGATTTTGTTTTTCTATAAAGTGTTTAATTGTTTAATATGAGAAGTGAAGCCATTAAATTGAATGTACCGGTAGAAGTGAAGCTTCATTTCAGTGCAGTCAATTCAGGAAAGTGATCTTCATTATACTGGCAGTTTCCTGTCTGGTTTCCGGGAATTTTTAAGTAACTAGTAATATTAAATTACACTTTTAAGAAATATGCGTCTTGGCATAAGGTTTACAGTTTTGGTTGATATACTATAAATCCACCTATTTAAGCTTTAATTTTCAATTTAATTAAATAAATTTAACCTAAGTTACTTCACTTTTCAAGTTTCACATGACTCTGTTATAACATAGTGAAATGATTGAAGCCTTGCCATTGAAAAATGCACCCAATTTCTATATTTTTGTGGAGATCGTTATATTTATGCTTCTATCAATTTTCAGTTTGATGATTTTTTAATGAATATTTTTGTAATTTTAGAGCAAAAATGTTTTTCGATTTCTCCTCAAAAACATCTGTGATTGGTTTGATACTTGGTATATATTTATATCTTATGACTGGGATGACTCCAAAACTTATGTACTATTAAACTTATCTATATCATTGATAAGATCTGAACATACCGTTGAAACATATAAGGTAGTTTGCTACCTTTAAAAAAACAATCAGAAATCCTCAAAATCCAGCAAGAAACATATGGTCACCGAACTAAGTTTCCCACAAAACAACCACAAAAATTGATCCAAGTTTACAATTGGTTCCTATGGCAGAAACATTTTATCATACTGGGGTAGTTATATGGCTGTTACGAAAAATTGGAGAATTTTGAATATTAGTATAAGTTATCTATGGAATAGTGTTTAACATGAAATCCTATGAAAAATGTTCCATAATGGCCACTTTTTGGATTAGTTTGTATACGCTTTCTTGAAAATACATTCTTTCTGAATGGCTTGCATGTATGTGAATCATCACACAACAAATTTTGAATGATTTACTGTGATCCATTAAAAATGGTTATATTGATATACTCTTGATATGTTTACAGGTAATAAGACTGATTTAATTGAAGACAGAGAAGTTAGTTTAGATAATGGCACCAATTTTGCAAGCACACACGAAATGCGATTTTTAGAAACGTCAGCAAAAGAAGCAGATAATGTGGACAAACTGTTTTTGGACATCGCTGAAGAATTAACGAAACGTGTTCAGGTGCATGAAGTCGAAGACTCCAAAGATGAGATCGCAATTTGTTCTCAAAACCATACCGTATCAGCAACATACAACTGCTGTAGATGGTAGACTGGTATACTTTAGTTTAACCATACTGTCCGATATCATAGCAGGACTGTGGTTTAACGTTGTTGATAAGTACATTGCAGTTGTATTTCACAATACATGTAAGTATGACCTGCAAAAGGCCACACATCCTGGTACTTTTGGTGGAACAAAAATTTGTTTTTCTTCTTTTGAATTTCAAAATTAAAGTATCTTGAAATAAAATAAAGTTACAGAGTCTAACATTACACTTAATACTGGTATGTGTGACCTTATAGGTCCTGATTTAGAAACATCCTGTTTGCTAATATTTTAATGTCTGTAGTTATGCATTAATGCCTTGCTACATACAGTGTTATTTACATTTTTTAAATGTTTTTTTTTTTTTTTTTATATCAAAATTCATATTTTCGTTCATAATCAGTAGCTTTGTTTGATAAGTACGTCCAATGCATCATCACTGTTCCAGTGAATAGTCTTCACAAGTGATTTGGGACAAAGTGTGTACTTGGAACAGATTCACGCATAATAATGAGCTGTATTTTAATCATGCATGACACACAGTGTGTATATCTGTGTTGATGTGATGTCTTGTTTTTAATAGTCTGGTCAGGCAATTAATGTTTTAAGGGATGCACCATTTATCTTTCAGGGGACATGGTGATAAGTAAGTAGTTTGAAAGAAAATGGTTGTAGTTGGAAATTTTACATTGTGCCCCCCTAAAAAGTGACCCACTCCTTAATTAGCAAGTAATTAGCTGTTATATAGAAATGACTTTCTCAGTAGTTTTTCTGAAGTAATTAAACAGTGTTAATGTATTGCTTCCAAGGTTGTACGTGATGTACTTTGTCCGGTTATTTACATTTTATTTTAAATATTTAAACTATAAATATTTAATATTAACAATTGCTCTACTGTGCATTATTTTTTATTGAAACCAATGCTTATATTTTTACAACTATATTTTATTCTGTAATATTGTATTTTTTAAAGTTTTGTTGTGTTTAGATAAAGCCAGAAATGGAATGTGATATTGCTAAATTATCACAGTTAATTTGTAAACTTTTTTTAAAAAACTGACATCCTCATTGGACTTTCTTCGAGCTTACAGTTTTTTCCTTTACTTGAGGTACAGCAAGATTATGGATTTCAAACATGTGTTGACTCATTTTTAGCAACAAAGGCTTAAAACTATTTAACCAAAATACATGATGGCAGTACAACAAAGAAAAAATATTAACTGGGTTTAAAATTAATAAGCACATATTAAACCCAGCAAGCCCTATATAGTAAATATAACTTTTATGTTTGAATGAAAATCAACTTATCTCGTGGGTCAAAACTGTTTAATTGTATTGGAGTGTAAGTCAGGGTGGGGAATCATTGAGTGTCTTTATTACACATACTGTGGAATACTTTATTTTCGCTGGAATTAATTTTCGCTGAAAAGGCTTTTTGGGCGTTTTGCTTGGAATTTATTTTCACTGATTTTTCATGAGTTTAATGTGGAATATAGGAAAAAAAGTATATTCGCTGGATTTTATTTTCACGGAATCATCCCTTCAGCGAAAATAGCGAAAATTAATTCCAAGCAAAAATAAAGTATTCTACAGTATTCGTATGTGTTCATGAATTTGATTAGCATACATGTCTAAACATTCTAGGGTCATTTATACTGATGTATTCGGATACCTTGATAAATTTATTACTATCAATGTTCTATGTGTACATTGCCATTGTTGAAACATTATGTGAGAGATTTACTTATATAATTAATTGTACTTAACACAAATAATCCCTCCATGTTATTCTACTATACGTATTGCAGTGATTTAAGTGTCTTTTTAAAGGCAACATGAAAATCCATGTATAGATGGTTGTTGATCTTGTATTGTTACACTGACATTGCAAATGGCTGTGTACAAACACAGATGAAATTTGGTACAAAGTCATCTGAATTTGTAATGGTTAGTTTACGCATATTTATTAGCTAATTTGCATATTATTGTAAGTTTAACACAAAACGTGTTTTCAGTGGGTGGGTTGCCCACCCAACATTTTATCCCACCTACCGATAATTAAAGAATCCTTAGATATGTTAATATCTGGATTAATTGACAGTTTATGTTTTTTGGCTTCCTGCTGTTGTCTTTAATCATTTAAATCAACAATTTATCATCAAAAATAATCCTTACTTGTGACTCAAGTATACAAATGGCTTTAATATAAGTGCACCAAAGATACAGAAGTGAGCACAATGCACTTCTAATAGAGCAAATATGTAACAGAAATATGAATTGAATATCAGAACTACCTATATCTCCAGTATTAATGAGGCTGAGCTCATATTTACTCCTTACCTATGGAGCAGATTATTTGTTCTCATTTTTTTTAAAAAAACAGAAGTTATAGTACATAAAATATACTTGTAAAACCAATTTTTTATTTCAGCATATTTGAGATTCAGTTGTTTTTTTCTATATGTAATATCATATTTTAGCAGCCTGTATTATCTAATTTACCTGTAACATCATTTACAGCCACTAATTAAATACTTTATCAGTTGATATTAATTTAATGAGATGTAGAACCATTGAGTGTTGCTATGGTTATGCTTTTCTAAGTAATGTGCAATCAAAATATACATGTGCAATTTTTTCTACAAAACTAGATTTTTGATTTTGTTTAGGTCCACTGTCAACGGTAATTCATATTATGGATTGTTTGTCAATCTTTACCATGTGCATTTCAGTTAAGGGTACATATCGTTACTTTCACCTTCATCCAAATTGTCCATGCATGGCTTTGGGTGTTCCCTCCCAGTTTTGTATATTTCATGGTAATAGGTGTTTGGTTATTGGTAATTCAATAAATTTAGGTGCAATGCTATCAAATTTGTGTCAACTGTAGATTGATTGGTCTTAAATGTTGACGTGTGTTAAATTTAGAGCATTTAAAATAAATACATGAAACAAATTAATAATTCTTATTTTCAGTGTACTGAACTGTAATTATAGATTCTTATGTGCCAACCTTTGTACACCTTGTCAAGTTTGCTGTGATATTAAGTTGTCAACCAACACACTTCTTTTCAAGTGTGGTTTGTATTTTTAAGGAACATCAGATGAATAAAACATGCTCAGAAATTGATTTACTGGAAACATAAATTAATTGTAACTTAGTTAATATATATATATATACCACTCTGAACAATGAAAGTACATTTGATTTTCATGCAATGTAATCATTATCCAGTCATATGAATTGTTTTAAGTCATTTTCTAGATGGATGTACACAAACATGGAATTGGATATACTGTGATTATCTGTATTTCACAGTATTTGTTGAACTTTACTGTCACCTACTGTATTGTTCTAAACAGTAACATTGATTGTTGCTTGATTAGATCTGGTTAAGTCAAGTCATTTTTTCGAGGGTATGTCGTTTGGCTGAATGTACATATTCACCAGCTCTATGCCACACACCAGTGACTATGTCCTAGCATTTCAGACTGTTGACTACCTCATTTGTTTAGATAATTTGCCATTTATCAGAGAAATTTATATGGTTGCATGAAATAAACTGAAAAGTAATTGTAATCTTCCAAATCCTGCTGTTGTGGTTGGTTTAACCCAAATTGTTCTAAATGTGAAATGATCTTAAGACGTGCATAGTAGAATCAGCAACTTAGCTGGCAATATTGCTGTTTGAAATATCACGGCAGTGACAGTAACTCCACCACCAAACATGAATGTAGAAGTATGGCATCCAGACAAAACACATGTGATCAGGCGCAGAGTTTATTAGAAAAAAAATAGATCAAGTGATAGCTCCTTTTTAATATGTACACAAAAGAAAAACGAGATAAATCACCACTTCTTAGTGTAGATGAGAAGCAATGTAATTTTGTTGTGACAATTTCCTGTACAGGTTTTTACTGTGTATTATTGCTACTTGTAACTCGTCTTTCCATATGTACAGGTTTTTGTTCTTATGTGTATTGCTATTTGTAATTCATATGAAAGTCTTGCCAAATAAAGCATTCATTATTAAAAATGTGGATTTTCATCTACGACCCAGTGTGTAATAATATGTGATTGTTAAATATTTATGAAACATTAGCAAGCAATAGTGGGACAAATTTGAATACAACACCAGTAATCAGATGAAAACATTTTCAAGGGATCTTAGTTCAGTGATTTTGCTTTAAGCATCACAAAAACCTCAAAAAAAAAAAAGAAGTAATGAAGTTTTTCAATATATTTTTATTTTGTGTTAGTGTCAGATTTAACATATCACATTGTATTGGTAGTTTTAGGTCAAATCTTTCACATTAACTTTGCAAACTCCTGTGCATTACAATTCACACTCACATGATAAGGCATTTATTCAGACTTAATTAAATTTTGTTCATTTCGTAAACAGTTTTTTGCACACGCTACTATCATAACCTGAACTGTCATTGCCCGAGGCCACATCATCAAACAAATCTTGACTCAGAATCTCATCCTCGCATCCACCATTACAAGATTTGCCACCAAACAAATCTGGGGTCAATACAACTGATGCTGATCTGAGTACATGTCGTCTCGTGTGTCCACTCATCATATGGAAACTACCAGAATTACAATAAGTACCTGGTATACTGTTAAGACTATCACTAAATTTCTCAGAAAATAAACATGGAGTACTGAATACGGATGAAGATGGAGTGGTTGCCATGACAACTGCATCTTTTGGTGTGGAAGATGTTGGTCTGCATGTTTGTGAGAACAATTCTGGAGTGTTTATTATTTCGCTTGCATTGTTGCTGTCCATTGAAAAATGACTGGAGGATGAAAAGAGATCAGGAGAAAATAGATCCGGTGAGCAAGGACAATCTTCATTGTTGTCGAGCAGATTAATCTCGTCTATTCCCTGTGAATCCGGGATGAAATCAACAGAACTGTTACTAGAATCATAACTTTGACCAGTTAAGTTCCTGTAGTTAGTATCCATGTTCCATATCGTGTGAATTGTGTTTAACTCTTCAACAAAATGAACTGTTTTTCTCCTGCTGGATTGTCTCGTCTTTGATACTGGTGGTTGACATTGAGGAGTATGGGACAACACACCTCTCCTTATAGTTACAGAGTCATCATTTTTATTTTCATATTTGTCTCTGCAAATATTTGTAATTTTATTCTCTGGAGACGTTTCTATCTTTGTGTTCTTATTTGTGATCAGTCTTCCAAGGCTGTTGTTACAGCCAATGAAAAAATTGTTTTGACAACTCTCATTTTGAAAAGAACTGGCAATATCTTCATAGTCACTCTCATTGCAATGAAAACTATCTCCATGAGTAACGTTGTCATGGAACACATCACCATCTTCATCACCATCTACAATATTAACATTGTATATACCTTGTGCCAAGGATGTGATTTCAGATTCGTTAATGTTTGAACAAATTTCATTCTGTCTTACACTGAAGTTTTTTCCAATGTCAATGTTATCACTATTCTTTATCAGACTATCAGATGATGAAACGGTGGTATTGTCTCTAGATGTCTCACTTTCCTGTTTGTGATGCTGATTTTCAATATTTTGCAAGAATAAGTCAAAATCTTCTGAGTATGGCATGTCATTTTCAAAGGACATATTAGTAACATACTCAGATTTTATGTTTTGGATCACAAAGTTGTGTTCTGTTTTTCTAAAACACATTGACAGATCATTTCCAGTCATAGCGCAAGAGTTTTTCAAAAGACTTTCATCTTTAGATTCAATTGCAATAAATGAGTTTGTCTTTTCTATTTTAATCTCTTCATTGTCTATGGCATCAACATGGTCTCTGTTTTTTGTAATTATTTGTTCACAATATTCAGTTTTTTCTTTCACATATTGGTTTTCAATCTTTTGTAGAAATATATCCAAGTCTTCGGAATAGGGTAAGTCATCTTGAAATGAGACATTAGTAGGATACTCATCAGACATCAGTGATATCGCCTCCAAACTTTCAGCTGACGAGTTTTCGTTATAGATGACTTGGGTTGGAAGTGGAAGAGTCAGCTGTTGAACACATGATGGAGTCTTCAGGTCTTGAGTGCCTTGCTTTGAACAATGTTGTGTTAGCCTTATTTGACAAAGTTCTGAGGTATTCTCGGCGCAGTGTTGTGTCATTTTTTCATTACATGTTTCTGGATAACCATTCCGATTCACCCTTTCTGTATTTTTTTCATTTACCATCACTGGTTCCAACTGTGCTTCTGACTGATGAGAAGATTCAACACACTGCTTTTTATCATTTGATGGCAATGAGTAATTATTACACTTTTCAATGTTCATAGTGACTGTACAATGAGCGTCATCTACAGTATTGACAGCACCTTTTGTGTTCCTATCTTGGTGATAATATTGCAATAACAAATCGTCATTCTTCTCAGCAACTGTGATTGCATTCACATGGCTTATAGTCAGAGCTTCCGCGATTTCATTTGCATGGCTGGTAGTCAAACCATCTACACAAGGAGACATGTTGCTGCCCTGTAGTAACAACTGACTGCCAACAGCATCACTACTACATGTATCATTATGCCAGGCGGATGAATCGCCTCCAGCAGTAGCATTACCATCACTGACATTATTAAAATGTTCTGCTTTAACGTTGGGTATTAAATTATGGGCAGCAAATGATACATTATTACTAGTACTGCTGGTATTTTGTTCGTTTAACAGCTCACTGTGTCCAGAAGTCAGAGCTCCTTGTGTATTTGACAATGACGCATAATTCATTGCACATGAATCCCCATTATATGTTATATCGCTATTAACACTTAATAAGGTCCTATCAAATGCACTGATATTATGACCACCAAACAAAGCTTCATGTCCTATGTATTGGTTACCATAGTTTTCTTCTTCATCACCTAAAGAATTATGGGAATAATCCATGTCTCCACTTTCACCCATACTGTTGAGTAACAAATCAATTCTACCGCTGGCTTCAAAACTCAATTTGCAATCCAATCCCATGATGCACTCTGGAGCACTTTGATCCCATAATGACAGAAGAGAAGACGCAGAATCGGATATAGAAGGACTTGCAGTTGCTATGCCAATACTGAATTTCTCATCAATATCCTCAACCGATGAAACACTAGTTGCCATGGATACATTCACTGGTTGTGTAACATTTTCATCTTCATATGAATTTATTTTACTCACAGTAGCTTTGATATCAGTTTTGATATCAGTGATACAGTCGAATACCGTCATACTGTCTTTCATGTGGCATCGTCTCATTAAATACGCCACAAGAGGCATTGTCTTCCTATCATTGGAATTATTCTGTTGGATGATCTGTTCTAACCTGACTGGTGAGTTAGATTTCTGCTGACTTGTACTTTGTTCAACTGAAGCCGTTTTCAAACCAAAATAAAACATGGATCCAATTAAACACTTCTCAACCGCTCTGAATAGCACTTCCTTGTTGGTGTTTGATGAGCAAAGTGTTGATGTAGACAACATTCTAGAAACAAACAATATACATTAAATAATTTCTAGCAAGACAAATGCGATATCAGCTGGCTCTCAATGTGATCACAATTTAAATTTGCCCTCCGAGTTGATTCTTCATTGTTTATTGGACTATTGATATTAGATTTGAATCAAATTACAATCAGAATACAGAGTACAATTGAATTCCCTATAGAAACCATTATTATAACAATGCTGTTATTAGCAGTACTGTATTTACTCTATTAGTGAACAAGTCATTGAAAATAACACAGTCCCCGTTAATTTTTTGAACGTTCTCTTTGTGCTCGTCATATTAAAGTGGAGGGATTGTCGCGAGCGTGTCCTTGAAACTTGAGTTCCAAGTGGCCTATACAACAGATTGTTTATTTACATCAAAACACGTGTTCCGTGTAGTAGTAATATGGCCAAAAATAAAAACAGTCGTTATTCGGCCATCTTTGATCTGGTTATGAAACACACTGATATGTATGATGTATGTGCCAAATACGAATGAAAATGGTACATAAATTGTGGAAATATAGTAGTAAGGCCAAAAAGTCAGATGGCTGTCAATCGGCCATCCTTGACCAGATTTTAAAACAAATTGTCATGGACATACATCCTAACATGTATAAAGTTCATGTATGTGCCAAATTTGAATGAAAACTGACAGAGCACGTCCAAGATACCGCATAAAAAAAACAAGATGCCTGCCAGTCGACTATCTTTGTTCCAATTGCAAAATAAATCGTCATGGATATGTATCTTAACATGTATAATCTATGTACCAAGTTTGAATGACAACTGACAAAAAAAGATGGCTGCCAGTCGGCCATTTTGAATAGAATCGCTGAACCACTGCATGTGCATATGTCCCACATAAGGTACTAGGCACATGCAAAGAATGAAAGGAATCGGTCCACAGGATTCTGAAATACGACTCTGGACAGACTGACGCACGCACGGACGAATGGACACACGGACGGACAGACAGACTCAGGAACTCACGAACGGTCGGGGACATGTATCCTAACATGTACGATCTATGTACTAAATTTGAATGAAAACTGACAAAGCATGTCCAAAATACAACATTTTCAAAAAACAAGATGGCTGCCAGTCGGCCATCTTTGATCCAATTGTGAAATAAATCGTCATGGACATGTATCCTAACATGTATAATCTATATACCAAGTTTGAATGAAAACTGACAAAGCATGTCCAAAATACAACATTTTCAAAAAACAAAATGGCTGCTAGTCGGCCATTTTGAATCGAATCGCTAAACCACTGCATGTGCATATGTCCCACATAAAGTACTAGGCACATGCAAAGAATGAACAGAATCGGTCCAAGGGATTCTGAGATATGACTCCGGACAGACGCACGGACGGAGACCGAATTATAAGTCCCCGTTTTCGGACTTCGTCCGAACGGGGACTAATAAAGACACAGTATCTACTGAGACTTAAAAGGTGCTGGTCATTGTGCTGCTCATGTACGACATCATTGTTGATAAACATTGATTTACCCACAATCCAATGCACTTTTCTAATGAAATCACAACCCAGAGTTTTGCTCTCGGCGCAACTTACACTAATTACCACCGGCGACTTCTTCGACACCATCCAGTCACAAAAAAAATTACCAAATTAAAGCTTGGTAACCTCTCAGTTTGTACTCGTTGGACTGTGCAACAGTCAAAGTTGCCATCTTTGTTTATGAGACCCATAACTCGCGCATGCGTGACACAAAAACCACCGGCCCTCAATAATACTTTATAGCAATGTATAGTAAGATACACTATTGTGCGAGTATGGAGGTGGAAAAGTAGAGAAATAGTAAGATTGAAAAACAACTGCTATCAAGATTGACTGTAAATAGGTAAAAAAACTTACTTTCTTAATTGAGTAGCTGAGATGCCAAATATTGGTTGGAGACATTCTCCAAACACGGTGATATCGGACAAATAGCCATAATGGGATATTCTCAGATGTAATCTATATCTGTCACATCTATCATGGTCTGAATAATAACAACCACACTTATAACATCTGTAACTACAAAAATAAAGATATATCTATTATTCTTAATTAGCTGAAATGTCACTCAGAGACGACAACTTTACCAAACATAAGGCTGCTATACAAGTCTGGTCTACCACATACAGGGATAAAAATGTGCCACAGTTTTGAACTAAAATTTCATAAATTGAACCCTAACCTGCTGCCTTTTCCCTCTGATAGTGGTGATATTTTACTGTAACACATTTTACAATACGCATAGTAGAATTTGTTATCTTTGACGGTTACAACAGTTGCCAGTATAAGCAATCTGTCTTCATTCATCGTGACATCATGGTTTATGGATCAGGACATACCGGTACATAACACTTCTGTGAACAAATTATAGACTTCCTGGTTAGAAAAAACTACTCACTTCATTTTCAAGTGATTGAAATTTACTTTTTATATCATGGTGACTATTGATGGTACAGAATTGATTTATTCATTATCAAAATAATCGCTTCTGCTAAAAAACTTATATACTACTATAACGGGTAATACAAATAATTTTGAGTCACTTCACTTAAAAGGTATTCTGTTGCCCAAACACATTAACAGAACAAATGAAGGAATTTTCAGCCAGCATTGTGCAGAATTGTTCTTTTTCAGCCATGTTTTTTTAGTGACCTGACCATCCTAATGATTTGTTTAGTGTAGATATACCCCAGGCTCCATAGTATAGAATACTGGTGGAAAAATTTTCATAAGCAGTACTGACCTAAATAATTAGTTTGAAGGAATTTCAACTTTCAAGTGACTGTGATCTGTGACGATGTGTACAAACCATATGTACCCCCCCCCCGGAAGGTCATATAAACTAACATTCTGGAGAAAAAAGTGCAGTTCTACTACCCCCCCCCCCCCACGCACACACACACAACTAAAACCTTAGATAACATTGTTATCTGAGCTGAAACAAACGACATCCAAATTTAAGCGTATTTTTCATGGTATTTTTGACATGTTCTGTCGCTAGATATCGACTGTCGGTGTTCTAGATAATCGTAGTAATACGGATCGTCCTTTCAAATGTATATAAAACGAACACTTACGCTTACATTACCATGACATTTTACGCTACATTTCATAAAAAGCGCCATCTCGGTTTGTTAACCAATCAAAACAACATGACTTACCCTTTGATGGTAAATATAACTCGTGCTGCAAACGAACACAATACTTGATTATTTGATGATATACATTATTATAATATGTCTTATATTGTAAATTTTTAATTTTACAATGTTAATTAAGAAATATGTTGCACACTTTAAAATAAATCCTATTTTTTGTTTGTCGCAAAAAGGTGAAATTTAAAAATGGCGCTGTGTTTGACTACAGTAAAAACGTCTATCCGCGGATTTAGGCAAATTACGGCGTTTAGAGATATTTTTTGTCGGTGCTACTGTGCTACATCATCTACCGTGAGATTTTCACTCGAACAAAATGTAGGCTCGTCCCCAGCTGATGTATCTGTGAAAGTAAGTATGACTTTACTAACTTCACACACGATCCAAATACCTATCCATTAAGGGACGGACCAACTAGATTTCAGAAGGGGTCAAACCAGGACGTGATTTTTTGTTTACCTTAAATGGAGAAAGTTCCTTAAAGCCTCTCGATAACCCTAACCCAAGCCCTAACACTTCAGCCCCCAATGTAATTGTCCAGAAAAAGAAACTCTTGCCCCTTGAATATCTCAAAATGTTGTTTTTAATTTTAATTGCATATACTTTTGGGCACGGATCTAGAAGCTGTATACCTACACACGAATTGGAGACGTCACAAAATACATGACCTTCAATCGGGGTTGTTTCCTCGGTATATACGAATTGGTATATACAATAAAGATACTTAAGACATTACACATAAGGTAAAACAAATCATGTGACAATATAATGATAATAACGGTAATAAATCCTAGCTTAACAGTTGAACAGAAAGATCATATAGTCAGTCGGGTGACGCCGAGGGTCACGCACTGTGTTGCAAAATGGCCGTGTGGTTGAAACTGGGTCATGGCGTGACGGGTCAGGAAGACATCATTAAACACTCTCAAAATCACAATAAAACGGGGAAGTGGTTGCATATTACGGCGTAGCCAACATGGGAAATACAAAACGTTCAATACAAACGACATGGGTTCGAATCACACTAGATACACACTCACCAGAACCGAAGCAATCAGAAACGAGTAATCGTTTTGGCTTTTCCGTTCAACTCATGGGAACACTGGAGTAGTTAGAAAAATGAACACCACTTAACGACCAACGTCGTGGCGTGGTACACAAGCATGCCATCAAAATAAAACAAAATAGCTTGAAAAGACAGTGGGTTTG